CCTCAGATTTGGAGGTGCTGATCCTCATCCAGGCCGCTTCACAAAGAGGACAACGTCGTCTGCAAAAAGCAGCGAAGCCACTTCCATGCCTATGTACTGGATACTGTACATACTTCGGGTGCACTTTTATATCCTTTCCATGAAAATCACAAAGTGGAGTGGAGACAAGACGCACCCCTGGTGAAGTCCAACACCCACGGTGAACGACTTTGATGTAACACCAGAATACGAACATAGCTCTCACTCCGGGAATAAGGGGACTGGATAGTGCACAAGACTGGCACCTGTACATCATATTTTTACAGTACCTCCCACAAGACATTGCAGGGAACACAGTCATATGCTTTTTCCAAGTCTACAAAGCAGAGAGACTGGAGAAGCGTACTCCCATGACCCGTCAAATATCTGAGAGGCAAAAGAGCTGGTCCATTATTCCACGACCATGATGGAATCAACATTGTTCCTCCTGAATATGAGGCTCAACTACCAGGCGGAGCTTCCTCTCCAGTACTCTGGCATAAGCTTTATTTGGGAAACTGAGGAGTGTGATTCCTGTGTAGTTGGAGCACACCCGCTGGTCCCCTTTTTTAAAAATGTGTTCACCAGTGGGTCCTAGGGTTGCCGCTATGACAGGCACCAACTGCTTTCAGGCCACAGCTTTTTGCAGCTGCATCCACAATCGAAACCCTGAACATCGTCCACTCGGACTCAATGGCCACGACCTCCCCTGAAGTGCAGGAGAAGTTTCCCCGGAGGTGGAAGTTGAAATCTTTCTACACTGGGTCTTCTGCCAGATGTTCAAAGAAAACCCACACTATTTGTTTGGGCCTTCCACTTCCATCTGGTCGGTGCCCCAAGCGTCAGATTCAACTTACCACCAGGTGATGATCAGTTGACAGCTCTGCCCCTCTCTTCACCCGAGTGTCTAGAACATATGGCCTGAGGCCCGAAGATAGAACTATAACGTCAATCATTGACCTTCAGCCCGAAGGTTCTCTGGTACCAAGTACACTGATGAGCATCCTTGTGTTCAAACATTGTGTATGTTATTGACATTCCTTTATTAGCGAAGGATTCCAAAAACATCTCACCAGAAGGGGTCCATTCTTCCCATCAAGCCACTCCAGGTAACTCCATCGTTTCCCACATTAAGATTTAAGTAGCCTGGTAAGACTGTGGAGTCGGTAGGTGGCATTCTGTCGGACACTGCACCCACCGTCTCCAAGAAGGCCGAATACTCCGAACTGCTGTTTGGTGCATAAGCTCAGACAACAGTTTTCCTTACTGACACCCGAAGTCTCATTGAGGCGATCCTCTCATCCACTCGCACAAACTCCGACTGAACAGCACCCAGCCGGGGGCTTGCAAGTATCTCCACCCCACCCGGGCACTCTCACCAGGGGTTACTCTGGAATAAGAGAGAGACCACCCCCGATCGAGAAGTTTGATTCCAGCGCCAATGCTGTGTGTAGAGGTGACACCGACTATATCGAGTCGGTACCTTTCTACCTCCTCCACCAGCTCTGGCTCTTTGTCCCCATGAGCCGTGACATTCCACGTCCCAATAGCGAGTGTCCATCGCGAAGGTCCATTCCGTCTGAGGCCATCCCGCTCCCTGCCACACCGGCAACGCACCTGCCCCTCACACTTCGTCCTGCGGGCGGTGGGCCCACAGTACAGTGCCGCGTAGCTATTTCGGGCCTGGGCCCGACCGGGTTACGTGGGTCACCCACCCACCAGGCCTGACTCCAGGAGTGTGTCCCGGTGTCCCTTGTCAGTGCGAGGTTCTCTGATATTTGTATTGTTTAACCATTCGTGAGGGGATTTTTTGTTGGCCCGTTATTTATCTGGAACCTCCCCATCAGACCTGTTCGCCAAGCGAGATGCTACCAGGAGTACAAGACTCCAGACGACATTAGCTCTGAGGGTGATTGGTACACACAAACCCCACCATGAAAATTATAAATTGTACATTAATATTGGCTGATGGGGAAATGCGATGGGGTTTGAGTCTTGGGGGGTGGAGGGTAATGGATGGCATGGATGGGTGATGATAGGGAAAAGGAGGGACGAGGTTAGGAAGGGGAAGGGGGAGGATGGTGAAGGTTTTAAGGATGAGGACAGGAAGTAGTAGAGAAAGACGAGCCTTTTTGTATGGTTTTCCCCGCTGTCCCGCATGAGTTTGCTCTGATGGGGGGTCTCCGCTTTCCTCTTATTGCTAAACCCCCCCCCCCCACACCCCTCCTACCCACCCACACAACGTAATTGGTATTGGCAATACATCCCAATGTAGCGGGACCCTCCTGAAAAAAATAATCTTTGAGACTCAGCGTGGCTGTCCCGGAATTAGTAAACAAACGAGCAAATATGTATCGCGCTAACACAACAACAACAAACAACGTCAGTATTTTCCAGGCGCCCAAATGAAATAGCGGCCTATTTGCTCTCGCTCACGTGAAAAATCAGCCAATTTCAGAAACGGCCTTAAGAGGGATAAAATAAAAACCCACACACATCCAGAACATTTTCATCCGGCACCAGCGTTAATATAATTGCTTAATTTCTGCTAATGCACCGGGGAGACCATTTATTGCGTGATTATCTCAGGAATGACAAAACGTTCCGATCGGTCAGCCGACCGATTTCCCCCCTTCGTGGTGCATGCAGCGGCGCTCTCCGCAAAGGGCGAGCGATGCGAATAAGTCCAACATACATACGCAATGCCCAAAGATTAACACTATCCATAGACTAAACTCTGCCCATAGACTCAACACTGCCCATAGATTAACACTACCCATACTCAACTCTGCCCACAGACTAACACTACCCATAGACTCAACTCTGCCCACAGACTAACACTACCCATAGACTCAACTCTGCCCATAGACTCAACTCTGCCCATAGACTAACACTACCCATAGACTCAACACTGCCCATAGACTCAACACTGCCCATAGACTCAACACTACCCATAGACTCAACACTACCAATCGACTCAACACTGCACCTCCGACTAGCACGGTCGGCAACGTACGGTGCGAAAAAAGTTCAACCATAGACTCACATCGACATACACACACCCCCTCCACCTGTGATATATTTTGAATCTCGGCTCCTCCGCTAGCAATCTCCCGGAGTGCCACGCCAATGCGTTCTCTCGCCACTCCTCTCCCCGTGCCTCTCTCTCTCTCCGTTTCATTCCCCCAGCGTGCATTGCGCCTCCACGCTTCTTTGAGCAATTCTAATTTTTTCCCGTTGCACTTTCTCACCATCTGCGTTTTTTTTTATTCCCCACGGAAATCTATCACGTGTAATTATAAAATACACCGTCATTGTAATGCGAATAATGGCTTACAGCGCCTCTGTCGATCCGCTGCTGGATGAAGGCCTACCCACGCCGCGTCGGACACGGTGGTCGTTTGACCATACTTCACTACGCTGTTCCGTGTTGGGTTGACGAAGCGGAGGGGGGGGGGGGAGAGGCCAGGATCTGTTTTCAGACATCACACGCCACTGAAGTTAGCCGTGGCTGGGAATATCATTTGTACCATTTCTATGTTGCCAGCTAAGGCTCACTGAGCTATGCAACTCTTGCTCACCTGCCACTCATCATTTGTGATAGCGCAACGAATTGGCGTATCACGTGTGAATGTATAGCATCCAAATAGTATAAACTCACGTTGAGTCTAAATGTGGAGGGAACAACTGGAGGACCCAGAGAAAAATCCACGCGACCACGCGGAGAGAGGGACACGCAAACTCCAAATAAACAGCAGCAGGCGTCAGGGCCGAGATCGAACCCACGGCCTCCTGCATACCAGGCGAGGTAGTTAACATCTCCGAGCCACCCTGGCGCCTGTTTTGGTAGCGCGGTTACGCAACAGCTGCGCCACCGCTCTCGAGGGGAAAAAAATCGTCGAGCGACTCCGCAGGATGGATGCATCTCGCGGGGAAGATTGCTGCTCGCCGTTAAAGTAATCTCCTCGGCGAGGAACACAAGCGTCTCCAAATGCTCCTGCCATAGAGGAGGCTAAATGCACCCCTCCCCCCCCCCCCCCAGATTGCCTCCTGAGAGCTCTCTCTCTCCCTCTCTCCATCGCTCCCTCTCATGGAAACCCTTCTGCCAGCAAGAAATTGCAGGGCTGCGCCTTCATCCTTATTATGGAGAAAGAAAACGAGGGAGGGGCTGCTGATGATGAGACGGCTGTGTACGCGTGGCGATCTGGAAGAATCGCCGGCCGGAAATACTCCACACATACAACAGGGTCACCGAAGTGCAAATGTAAGAACATATATTTAGCATGGATGATGGAGCGTAATGATAGCCGCACATAAATACATACATGCTGTCAATTAGCCAGGAGTTGGCTCTAATTCAGCAGGGTCCCGCATTCGAATGTTTGGCCAATTTCAAGGTCTTCCACAGACACGCGACTGCCTCCCTCTCCCATCTCATCTCACTCTACTCCTCTCCACGCACTCTCCTGCCACTCCCCTCTCATCTCACTCCACTCCCCTCCACGCACTCTCCTACCTCTCCCCTCTCATCTCACTCTACTCCCCTCCACGCACTCCCCTACATCTCCCCTCTCATCTCACTCTACTCCCTCCACGCACTCCCCTACATCTCCCCTCTCATCTCACTCTACTCCCCTCCACGCACTCTCCTACCTCTCCCCTCTCATCTCACTCTACTCCTCTCCACCCACTCTCCTACCTCTCCCCTCTCATCTCACTCCCCTCCACGCACTCTCCTACCTCTCCCCTCTCATCTCACTCTACCCCCGTAATCACCCTCTCCGTTCCATAAACCAAGGCCTTTTGTCAAGAGCTTGGATGAATGGAGATTTGAGCCGTGAGCGTCTGAAGAGCCGTGTCAGGTGAGCGGCGAGTTTCTGGATCAGGGTCAGGTGAGTTTGGTCAGATAAGTGTCAGGTCAGCTCGTCCGTAGGATGGTCTGCCCTCTAGTCTGCACATTCACGGCCGCGTTGGTTTCTCACCGATTGTAGAAGTCCTCTCGGTAGTAGTCGTAGTCAAAATCAAAGCTGCTCCTGCAAATGGAGAAGGGGGGAAGGAGAACAAAATTACAAGCCTGTCCCATTAGACACAAGCCAATCCACAGAGTGAGCCCACGACTCGATTCTAATGGCATCATGTATTGGAGAAGGGGGGAGAGAGAACAAAATTACAAGCCTGTCCCATTAGACACAAGCCAATCCACAGAGTGAGCCCACGACTCGATTCTAAGGGCACCGTGTACATAGTTCGTATGAGGGATCACATATCGTCCCAATTACTCGGTCGAACTTCGCGCAGTCCAACACAGCCCAAATAACACGACCAGGGGCTGAGTCAACTTTAATGCGTCAAGTCCACGAGACAATTACTTATTCACAGCGGCTCTCCTCCGTGTATGATATATAGGGTGTCCGAAAACAAATATGCCAAAAATAACATTTAATCGTTTTTATTGTTATTCGAGATACTGACGTAAATTTAATTTGAATACATGTACTAGGCATAAGTTTAAGTTTATTGTTTTTTTGTGTATGGTATTAATGAGATATTCTCAAATTAGAAATAAACTTCTACATGTGGTCCATCATTGACTATAATTAATCTAATTCTGCGTTCAAACTCTGAAAACATATCTTTGTAACACAGCTTTGGGGAAGGATGATGACACAGCAGTAACAACAATACGATGTTTAAGTTTTTCAAGGTCCCTTGGTTTGCTGCTGTAGACTTTACATAGTAAAATAACCCAGAGATTAAAAAACAACTCTAATAGTGTAAAGTCGGGTGCACGGGCGGACTCCCGTGCGTCTATGGATCGCTGTTCTGCGCGACGTTCGACGTTTCGCTCCACGCGCTGGGAGCTTCTTCAGGAACTGAATTAAGTGGCTCGCGTTCTCGCTCTCTATCACTTCGTTATATAGGCGCGCCGCGGTGGTGAGATGTTAACTACCTCGCCTGGTATGCAGGATGTCGTGGGTTCGATCCCGACCCTGACGCCTGCTGCTGCTGTATATTTAGAGTTTGTGTCTCTCTCTCTCTGTGGTCACTTGAACATTTCTCCGGGTCCTCCGGTTTTCCCCTCCACATTTAGAATCAACATCACGCGCTCTGCGTGTTTGTCTGCTGCTATAGCCTTCCACACGACGATGAGCCGCTTTGTAATCATGATAATGATGACGATGAGCCGCTTTGTAATAATGATGATGATGACGATGAGCCGCTTTGTAATAATGATGATGATGACGATGAGCCGCTTTGTAATAATGATGATGATGACGATGAGCCGCTTTGTAATAATGATGATGATGACGATGAGCCGCTTTGTAATAATGATGATGATGACGATGAGCCGCTTTGTAATAATGATGATGATGACGATGAGCCGCTTTGTTGAGCTATCATTGTGGCCCTGGGTCGCTTCTGAATAAGAGCTCCGTAGCTCAGTGGGCTTGACCCGGTAAAATAAAAATAGTTTAGTTTAAGTCTATACATCTATGTGTGCTGTGTGTCTCTGTGTGTGTGTATGTGCTGAAGCGTAGCAGTTAGCGCGCTGCGCTACGAACCTGGCGACCCGAGTTCGATTCCCGCTCACGGCCAACACCAGTGATCTGAACCGGTCCTGGGCTTCCCATTAGGTCGAATCAGCCTCAAATTAGTTCCTGGTGCGCCGATGCGTAAACATCGCCACAAGGGAAACAAAGGCGTCCGGGCGTGGTGCTGGCCACCCACCCCCTCGTGTGCACGTGCCGGGCTTCATAGGAGCTTGCGAACAGCACTTGCCCTCAACAGTCTGTTACAGGCTATACGGGGGTTCTTTGTCTTTGTTATAGTTCCTCCTTGTGAACTGTGAGCACGCAGGGCCCTGAAATTGCCCCGCGAGCGCCACTGCCGTGACAGAAGGGCCTCCTCCACTCGTGAGCTCCTCCTGCCCGAGGGGGCATCTGGCTTGAAGGGTGTTTGTTGCACAGCAGCACGGGGAATGTTTGCACCTCAATTGGATATCGCGCGCCGTAGAGAAACGGAAGCGACTCGTGAACAAGTAGCGGGGGGTCTGTTCGTGTCGTTCGCTGCTCGTTCTGCGGCGCATCTGCCGCTTGCGAAGATAATCGTCCACGTGTTCATCCGCCAAGTGTCTCCATACCGCCGTGCCTCCACCCCCCATCTCTCTATACCGCTGTGCCCCCCCCCCAGTCTCTCTATTCTACCGTGCCCCCCCCCCCCGCCCCTAACATTTACCATCGCTCCCCACACCGGTGCTCCGCTTCCCGCCCTCCTCCCCCCCCCCCCTCTACGGCTTGCATACGTGTCACGTGTGTCACGTGTGTCACGTGTGTCACGTGTGTCACGTGTGTCACGTGTGTCACGTGTGTCACGTGTGTCACGTGTGTCACGTGTGTCACGTGTGTCACGTGTGTCACGTGTGTCACGTGTGTCACGTGTGTCACGTGTGTCACGTGTGTCACGTGTGTCACGTGTGTCACGTGTGTCACGTGTGTCACGTGTGTCACGTGTGTCACGTGTGTCACGTGTGTCACGTGTGTCACGTGTGTCACGTGTGTCACGTGTGTCACGTGTGTCACGTGTGTCACGTGTGTCACGTGTGTCACGTGTGTCACGTGTGTCACGTGTGTCACGTGTGTCACGTGTGTCCCTGCTCCTTCCCAAACTCACCCTGCACCCCCCCCATCACCACACCACCACCCTCACCACCACCACCACCACGCCCAGCACCACCCCCACCACCACCCCCCCCGAGCACCCCCACCACCACCACCCCACCACCCTCACCACCTTCACCACCACCACCATCCCCAGCACCACCACCCCCAGCACCACCACCACCATCCCCGGCACCACCACCACCATCCCCAGCACCACCACCCCCAGCACCACCACCACCACCCCTAGCACCACCACCACCACCCCCAGCACCACCACCACCACCCCCAGCACCACCACCACCCCCAGCACCACCACCACCACCCCCGGTGCGCTCGACAGCTGGCGCCGGGCCGCCCCCAGCACACAAGAGAAATGTTTCACTCGAGCGAACAGCGACTGTGCGCGGCTCGCGTCCTGGCGTAACGACGAGCGCGTCGTGGGGGTGGTGGTGGTGCTGGGGGTGGTGGTGGTGGTGGTGCTGGGGGTGGTGGTGTTGGGGATGGTGGTGGTGCTGGGGGGTGGTGGTGCTGGGGGTGGTGGTGGTGCTGGGGGTGGTGCTGGGGGGGGGGGGTGGTGCTGGGGGTGGTGGTGGTGCTGGGGGTGGTGGTGGTGTTGGGGATGGTGGTGGTGGTAGTGCTGGGGATGGTGGTGGTGCTGGGGGTGGTGGTGCTGGGGGTGGCAGTGGTGCTGGGGGTGGTGCTGGGGGAGGGTGGTGGTGCTGGGGGTGGTGGTGGTGCTGGGGGTCGTGGTGGTGCTGGGGATGGTGGTGGTAGTGCTGGGGATGGTGGTGGTGGTGGTACTGGGGATGGTGGTGGTGCTGGGGGGTGGTGGTGCTGGGGGTGCTGCTGGGCGTTGTGGTGGTGCTGGGGGTGGTGGTGCTGGGGGGGGGGGGGGGCGCGGCCGCCGAGGGGACGTGGCGGATGAGATCGGCTCACGTGCAGCTTGCCGAGTGGACCGTTAACATCGCAGAAGCGCGAGGTTCGCCGAAGATGATGATGACGATGATGACGAATGTTCAACGTGATAATGCCGTCTTATTAACGGAGGACAGCCTCGCTGAGTCGCAAGACTTGTTGCAAGGAGAGTTCCTGCTACATTGGGGATGTTTTGTCAATGGCCCTAATGAGCGTAGTGACGCTTCCCGAGAGAGGAAACGGTCGCAGAAAATAGCTCATCAATCACAGTCATCATTAACACGGCCTCATATCAGCAGCAGCGGCGGCAGCGTCATCATGGGGTAGGGGGGGGGGGAGGCGGTGGATCGGCGTTCGAGTCGCCCCACCCCTCGCACCCCGTCAGTACCGTCGCCCCCGCCGACCGAGGAAGACGATGATACGACCGGCGGAGCGAATTCTGTCTTGCGAGCTCCTTCTCTCCGAGTCCCGGTCTCAAACGCGCACGCGCTCAATCATTAAATAGATCGGCAACAGCAGCGGCATCAGCGGTCTCTATGATCCGGCGAGTGACGAATCAAAATGACCGCTCACGTATTCTTGACTCTTTATTTTTGTAAGGTGTGTCTGCTATTCAATGTATCCACGAACGGATAATTTGACGCCAATACGAGACTTCCATTGTCAACTTTTGCACACACAAAAAAACCATCCTGTTTGATCATGACCCGCCCGCGGTGGAAAATGATTTATCAAACTACAAGTCGATCTCTCTGCCCGATCGCTCTCTACAGGGCCATCGTTCCAAAATTCCTTCCTGACGGCATCGGCCCTCTCACTTAAAAAAAAGACGAGGAACTTTCGCGAATTTCTACCGGCGAATTGCAGCAGCGGCAGTGGTGGCGGTAGCAATGAAAGTGTGCCATTGCTAAACTAAACTTAATATATATATATTTTTTATTTTACCAGGTAAGGCCCCCGCTGGGCCGTGTAGCTCTTTTTCAGAAGCGACCTGACCACATATTATAGCTCAACGAAGTGGGCTCATCAAGTGGAAATTCACAAAAGCCAAACATTCTAAACTCGTGTTTATAAACGTGGAAGGAAAAAAAAACAACCTGGAGGACTTGGGAGAAAAATCCTCGCGGCCACAGGGAGAACATGCAAACTCTCAATTATACAGGCGTTAGGGTCGGGATCAAACCCACGACCTCCCGTACACCAGGCGAGGTAGTTGACATCTCGCCACCGTGGCACCACCAATGCCCATCCTGCAGCAGCTGCCACGCTCACTCAAGGTTAAGGAACTTCCGCGGTTTGCTACCGGCGACTCGCGGGAGCAATCGTGGCAGTGGAGGCAGTGGAGGCAGCGGCGGTGGTGGTGGTGGAGGTGGTGATGTAACGGCGACGTGCTGGGGGTAAGTGTTCGGTCGGACTCTGCGTCCCGTCGTCCTGTGTGTGACGCCACACACAGGCTCCACGCGCGCACGCGGGGTTAACTCATTATTTCACAAAGAGCCAACCTCTCACTCCGCCGCCAAATTACTTCCCGGGGCTGTGCAGGGGGACGGGGGGGGGGTGAGAGGGGGGGTGGGGGGAGTGAGGGGGGAGTAAGGGGGGGGGGCTGCTCCCCGCGCGCGCCACGCGTCCGCACGCAGCTCTGGCGACTACTAATTTGCTAAAAAAAATCCCACTCACTCACCCACCTGGCTACGTACGGTGCGAAAGATGTTCAACATGCATACACCCAACCAACAACTTACTCACAAACTTATCTTCAGCTGACTCACCAGCTCACTCACGAGCTCACTCACCAGCTCACTCACCAACTCACTCACCAGCTCACTCACCAGCTCACCTTCCTCATCCAGTCACTTACTCGCTCAGGTCAGTCGCCTCTTCATCTATGGCTACTGCCATTGTTACCGCTCCAATGAACATCGCTCGCGGACTCCTCAAGCCGCCTTGAGGACTGGGTCTGCGAGGCACTCACTGTTTGTCTCATCCACCACACTCTGTGTTCAACCACCACCACACTGTAGGTCACAACAAAGATCCACCGTATAGCCTTAACAGACTGTAGGGGCAAGTGCTGTTAGCGAGCACCTATGAAGGCCGGAACGGTACACTTGGTGTGGGTGGCCAGCACCACGCCCGACCGTCTTTGTCTCCCCAGTGACGATGTTTACACACCGCACCAGGTACTCATTTCAGGCTGAGGCGACCTAGGGGAGGCCCAGGACCGGTTCAGATAATCGTCACTTGTGTTGGCCGTAAGTGAGAATCGAACCCGGGTCGCCTGGTTCATAGCGCAGCGCGCTAACCGCTACACTACCGCTCCCCACACTCACACTCACTCACTCACCTACTCACCCGCTAACCCACTCACACTCACTCACCTTCTCACCCACTTTCCCACTCACCCACCCACCCACTCACCACGCTGCAGGCCACAACTCCAAACTCACTATTCACTCACTCACTAACTCGCCATAACTGCACGCCACCTCATTTCTCTTTCCATGTTTTTCCGACTCACTGCTCCACACTTGGGAATTCCGTGGTCATCAACTGAGTTTCCTCCACTAAGTTTTTTTTTACATATCCATCGCGCAATTAAAACGTCTTAACTCTTACCCTTAACACATGCGGCCCTGCTGTAAGTTGCCGGTCTGCTCAGCTATTTTTAAAAAGGCAACAAAATAAAGCCACCCCGTATTATTCACAAAGCACTCGGTGGAGGGGTCGTGGTGGTTGGTGGTGGTGGTGTTTGTGGAATGGCTCGGTGGCTTATCTGTACCCACGTAAATTACGGCGCTGATTTTCGTGGCCCATGGCTCACGGGGTCACAAATCGTTGGGTGCTCTGGCCCGGATCCGGCCTCCAGCCGTTAATAATAATCACAGGGCGTGGCCGCACGATTTTTCCCCATTGGACGCCGCGTGTCGCTCGCGAGACGTTAACATCTCATCTTCTTGTCGTGATTTTTCATTATATTCGAGCAACGCCCAGCGGCGTTTTTCCTCTTCGTTTAAACGGGCAGCTGACGTGGCGAGAGCTTCGTTACTTGCCTGTGACGCTCCGTGCGGGGTTGCGAGTCACGTGTTCTCCTTTTGGGGGGGGGGGGAGTTGTTTTTGAAACTTTCGAGGGAGCCGCTCTGCTATTTGCGAGTCGGAGTGGGTGGGGGGGGGGGGGCGCTACTAAGCTTTCGGGACACCGTTGTTGGTTTGCTGCGTTTTAATTTTTGCGTCATCCTCCTCCATCCCCCACTCGCTTCATCGCCGATTGCGCGGCTAGGCGTCAAGTTCCCCCGCAACCTCCGACGAGCACCATTGGCTACATACGGCGCGCAAGAAGTTGAACGTGCGTACGAGACACTTCGTTCTCTCGCTTGAGCAGCGCCACCCTTCAAGGGTGAGCCGCCACGACCCCGGGATCCCGAGTGCGTGGATGAGAGGTCACTGGGGCCTCTGGGGCAGGCCATCCAAGCAGCCGCTCTGCGACAATCTGCGTTTGCGGGCCGCTCTCAAACCACCGCCGCCGAAGCGAGAGTCGCGCAACGGACGTCCGTCCAGTCCGTGACGCGACAGCACAACGGGCGCTCCGGTCTGGCCTGAGGACACGGAGGTGCCCGAGGGGGGCGGAGGGGTGGTGGCGACATGGAGTGGCGTCACGTGCCAGCTCGTGTGACGGTGCGGTGGCAGCGGCGGTGAGGTATCAATCTGCGTGACAGCGGTCATGCAGCACAGATGCACGCACGTGTGTGTGCGTGTGTGCGAGCGTGTGTGTGCGCGTGTGCGTGCGTGTGTGTGTGCGTGTGTGCGAGCGTGCGTGTGTGTGCGTGTGTGTGCGCGCGTGTGTGTGCGCGCGTGTGTGTGCGTGTGTGCGTGTGTGTGCGAGCGTGCGTGTGTGTGCGTGTGTGTGTGCGAGCGTGTGTGTGCGTGTGTGCGAGCGTGTGTGTGCGTGTGTGCGTGTGTGTGCGCGCGTGTGCGTGTGTGTGCGCGTGTGTGTGCGTGTGTGTGTGCGTGTGTGTGCGAGCGTGTGTGTGCGTGTGTGTGCGAGCGTGTGTGTGCGTGTGTGCGTGTGTTCGAGCGTGCGTGTGTGTGTGTGCGCGTGTGTGCGAGCGTGCGTGCGAGAGCAACGGGCCGCGCTCTGTTTCTCAGGAAGAAATTAATTCACCTTCGTTGCTTTGTCAGCCGGCATCCCTTGTTATATACAAGGGCGCCGCGGTCGTGAGATGTTAACTACCTCGCCCGGTATACAGGAGGGTCGTGGGTTCGATACCTACCCTGACGCCTGTTGTATATTTCAAGTTAGCGTGTCTCTCTCTCCCCCCGTGGTCGCATGGTGTTTTTTCTCCGGGTTCTGCGGATTTTTCTCTCTGCATTTAGAATCAACGCGCATTTAGAGTATCTGGCTGCTGTACATTTGCACGTGGTGACGATGATGAGCCACTTAGTTGAGCTATCACGTGTGACAGCCAGGTCGCTTCTGAAAAAGAGTTACGAAGCGCAGTGGGCCTTACCTGTTGAAATAAAAATAATAGTTTTTAGTTTAATCCCCCCACTCTCACCACCCCCCACCACCGTCACCACCCCACCACCACCGCCACCACCGCCGAATCCACACCCCCCCCCTACCCGACTCGGACGCTCTTTGTCGGCAACGTCACCCCCCACAAACGGCGCAAAGCGCCACCTGACCCCTCGTTTGCGGAAACGGATCAATTGTGGATGTGTTTTTTTTAAAGAAAAATAAGTTCCTTTAAAGCATTGCATTTCGCGTCTTCAACAACACTCAGAAATAACTAAACAAGGCTAACGGGGGTTCGACGCAATCGCAAGAATTTAGATGGAACTCCTGGAGCCCCCATTTGTTGTGTATCTGGGAACAAATAGAAACGCAGGGGGAGGGAATGGAGCGAAGAAAAGACAGACAGGAGAGAGAGTGGATGTTTAGATATGTCGAGCCTTAGCAAGGCTGAGAAGATGAGTGGCCCGTGCTGCGCTCACCGCTGTGACCAAACCCAAGCGCTCATTTTCATTTTAGATTAAAAAATAGAATCGGACGAACGGAAGCGTCCGCACGTTCAAGCATCAGCCGCGGCTGCGGGGTGATTCAACTCCGCTGGATATTCTGTGGTGGGAATTCCACATGGCGAGGACGGACCACACCGTCGCTCTAAAGTTAATCGGCCCCAGTGTGACACTGATGATGATGCTGGTGGTGGCGATGACAGTGATGAGGCGTGGGACGATTCGCCCCACTCCAACGGAGTCAGCCCAGTGCCCTGGCGGCTTTACCCGTAGAGTGCGGCGGCTGCCCTCTTGCCGCCTCCGGGCTTGTGGCGGTTTGGCTTGGGCTCCCCGGCCATGTTGATGTCTGTCAGAAGGAGCACGCGGACAGGGACACGCACACAGAGAGAGACGGGGAGGGAGGTAGACATAAATCAGAAGGGTGTATTTATACCGGAGGAATCCGATGAGCTTCCGAAGTTTTTTTTTTCCACCGATGTCCCAGAAAGTGTTCACAGATGTCCTGTGGAGATGGGAGTGGGAGACGGAGAGGTAGACAATCAGAATCAGAATATTTCTTTATATCGGAGGAATTCGATGAGCTTGTGAAGTTTTTTTTTCTCCCAGAAAGTGTTCACAAATGTGTTGAGTCTATGGGCAGTTCGTATTTTGAACTTCGTTCGCGCCGTACGTAGTCAGCCATGTTCATCGGAGGAGTGGTAAAACTGATTTTAAAATATATATACGTATATAAATATATTCTTCAAAATCGGTGACAGCCCTTGTGTTAATGCACCGCTGAATAGTCTCACAATGCCATGCTCTTCATGGGTGTTTGACTAAGTTAAATTATAAAAAAAAACATTTTACCAGGTAAGGCCCCACTGAGCAATGTAACTCTTGTTCAGAAGCGACCTGGCCACAAATGATAGCCCAACGAAGTGGCTTATCGTCGTGCGGAAATTTATAGCAGACAAATAATTAATCTAAATGCGCGACGTTGATTCTAAATGTGGAGGGGAAAAAAAAACCCGGAGGACCCGGAGAAAATTCCACGCGACCACGGAACGAGAAACACGCGGACTCCAAATATACAGCAGGCATCAGAGTCGGGGTCACACCCACAACCTCCTGTATACCAGGCGAGGTAGTTAACATCTCACAGAGGTACCAAGCCATGCCGCTCCGTCCTGGTTGAGGCAGAACTGGTTCACAGATCGCTCACCAATGACGTTAGCCGCGGTTGGCAATTGAACTCAGGTTGTCGGGGTTGAGTTGTGCAGTGAGCGAACCACGCTTCCCGGTCCACCCGCGCTCCAACGACCGATGCATTTTCCCCTGGCCGTGCGCTTCTGCTGTGCGCAAAAGTTCGTCGCACGCCAAGTCAAACCCCGATTTGATCGAATTCTCTTTCGAAAGTTGGAATCTAACGGGATTAAGTGGTAAAACCACTTAACGCGATAAAATATTTGTGGAGCCATTGGTGACCTGGGCTGAGATCATCAACTCGATACAACTTTGAGTCGCTGGTTTAAAATCACCGACATGCAGAAACTCATCCCAGTATCTCAGCGGTGCCGCCACAGCGGGGTCCGATCTCTGCGCTGCACGGCCATTCACAACAGCACTTCGTTTAATATATACAGGGTGGCCCAAAAGTCAGGACACACAATTTCGTTCGTTCGTTTCTAAATCCGCATGCCCTGGTGAGGGTCGCGGGGATAGCATGTTGAGTAAGGCGGTCGAGCCTCCCCTTCCTCTCGCGACAGACTCCAGCACTACACCACTATACACTACACTGTTATACACCACACTGTTATACACTACACCACTATACACTACACTACTATACACTACACTGTTATACACTACACCACTATACACTACTCTACTATACACTACAGTGTTATACACCACACTGTTATACGCTACACTACTATACATTACACTATACACTACTACACACTACACACAGATTCTAGTTCTTCCTGGAGAATTCCCAGGCGTCCCCAGGCCAGTCGAGCGACACATTCCCACCGCCAGCAGCGTGTCCTGGGCCGGCCCCGGGGTCTTCACCCAGCGGGACGTTGCTGCTGCCCGGTAGAGTTCCAGGGGGAGTCTACTGGGCGGGCATCCTTCACCAGGTGCCCGAGCCACCTTAACCGGCTCCTCTTGATCCGGAGGAGCAGCAGCGGCTCGACTCTGAGGCTCTCCCGGTTTACCGAGCTCCTCACCCGGTCACGGAGAGTGGTGAGCCCGGCAACCCTGCGGAGAAGCCTCATTTCGGCCCCTTTTACCAGCGACACGCAAGTGTTCTTACTATTTATCTTAACACTGGCAGTAATAAAAAAAAATCTTAATCGTTATTCTTTAAGTAAATATTTGATCTATTTTCAGGATTAATAAATATGTGTCTTCTTCCCGTTCGGGCATTAGGAAGCCACTTGAGCAACGCACTTTTAAATCTAGAGTTGTCAACTAATTTCTTTAGAACTTTTTTTTGTGTTTAGTTTGTCGTCCTTTCCCCCGCACTTCCGATTAGCACGGTTGGCTACGTACGGTGCGAAAGAAGTTCAACACGCGCGCACCTCACAACTGTCGTTTTTTCAAAACTCCACCAACATCTGTGAATGAATTGAGACGTAAAACACAATTGACGAACGTTCAAATATAACGCCCGTACCCTTAAAACTGGCCCGACATTTTCAAACGAGAATTCATGCATCATGCGTGCATGTTAAATGGCGGTCAGCTTGAACATTTGCTCGATTAAATCACCCTACGCGATGGGTTACGATAAAGATTACGTGCGTCCTGACTTCAGGGCCACTCTGTACGTAACAGACTTCCACGGGACCCCCCGCGAAAGGCGAAACGGGTCGGCGAATATTCGGCAGCCCCCCTAACAAGGGAAGAGGAATCCGCTGCGTGGTGTGCCCGTCGGGATTTTGCTGAATCGTGAAGCTCGCGTGATGCGAGCCTCACGATTCGCGGTCCTAATTAAACGTCTCCAAATCACATCGCGCACGTGATATTTTTTGGGTTTGTTTTGCCTTTAAAAGAATCCTGCCATCTAAATTGTTTTTTTTTTTCCGCGTGTGTCTCACACGAACGAATACATACACACGCGCACATATACACACAAGCACAGACGAAGATCACCCATATAGCCTTCAACAGACTGTGGAGAGTAAGTGATCATAGTGATGTAAGCCAGCACCGATGAAGGCGAGGGTGGGTGGCCAGCATCGCGCCCGGCCGCCTTTGTCTCCCCACCGCTGATGTTTACACGCCGCACTAAGTACTCATTTTAGGCCAAGTTGACCTAGGAGACGCCCAGTACCGGTTCAGATATTTCACCACCGATGTTGGCCGTGTGCGTAGCGCAGTGCGATAGCAACTACACCGCCGCACCCCAGAGACAAAGACCGTTCTTCCCCCTTATAACATTAACAGGCTGTTGGGGCAAATCCTGTGAGCGGGCAGCACCTCTGAAGGCTGGCACGAGAGGGTGGGTGGCCAGCACCACGCCGGGGCCGCCTTTGTCTCCCTCGTGGCGACATTTAAGCATCGCACCAGGTGCTCATTTGAATCCGAGTCTACCTAGGGGAGGCCCATGATCGGTTCGGATAATCGTCACCGGTGTTGGTGGCCGTGAGCGTGAATCGAACTCGGGTCGCTGAGCTCGTAGCGTGCTGACCGCTGCACTACTGCCCCCTCCCCCCACAGCGACGCGCACAATGAGACACGTGCGTACGCACGTTCACCCGAACGCACACATAACAAACGCACACATAACAAGCACGTGCATGCCATTATACTATTTTAAAATCCTCTGATTGCAGTGATTGTACTGCGGGGAAAAAAGATTGTAAATTTAAACGGCCGACTATTTATGACAATGATAACAATCGTCGGAATCTAGGGATAGCTTTTGTGAAAGCCGGGTGAAAAAAGAAGAAACATTTTAAGGAGCACGTTCATTTATTAATTTAGTTTGCTCTGTCTGAGCTGCTGCGGGAGAGAATCATCAAGGAGCCGTGCGTTTGACAGCCTCGGCTTTATATTGGATTAACTGCCGCATCAAGAAAAAAAATACACGGACTCGTTCAAAGACAAAGGTGCCACCAGCTGTAGCGTTTCAGCAAAGAGGGCTCTTGAAGCCAAGAATGATTTTCGGTCAGGTGCGCTCTATAACAAGATTAATATATAATATATAACAATGCACGGTTATTTAGGTAGGAGGGGATGGACATGGGTTTGGAAAGTTGAATTCTAAATTGTTTGGCAAATGTATTTGTAATTTCTGTTCACAAAAAAAACTTGCATTGGGTGAAATGGAATAAATGCAGCCCATGCAATTGCCTGCTCACGCCACCGCTGGTGAAAGAGCTTCAACGACAGCGAGCTGTAAACAGCCGCCCGCCTCTGAATGGGTATTTGGCCTACTCTTCCACACTGGCCAGACGTCTCGGAAGAGGTGGCGGTTCCCACGCTTTAGCTCATCGCACACCGCGACTCGCCAGCCCGCCCGCCGGTTCACAGACGAACTGCCGGTGAGACCCATTCGTATTACTGGGTTGAAAGGAAGCCAGAGGGTGGATTTACAAAAAAAAGATTCGCGCCATGGTTTTGACTGCCGCGGCAAGGGAATAGAATCGAACCGGCCACCCTCAGCATCGCAAGTGCAGTCTGACGAACAATCATCCCGCGGCAGCGTGTTGGGGGGCAGGGGGGGGGGGGCAGAGAGGAGGGGAGGAGGGGCGATGTTTTATATTTATGAAAAAAAAACTTGTTAAAGAAAAAAAAGACTTTCAAAATTGAAGTATCCACGTGACTTGGTGGTGGTACACTCAGCTGTGAGAGTACAAATCAGGAGAAAGCCTCGGAGTGAGAAGTAATTTGTCAGTTCAGTAGGCAGCTCATCCCGGAAACGGATGGGACAGCGAACCCATGCATGGGGTGGATGGTGCGCGGCGCGGATAATTTCTGGGAAGGGGCCTTTCACGCGGCAAGGGCAGGAGACGCGATTCGGAATTCCAGAAGAGAGGGGGACACTGCGGGTTAGGTGCCTCCGTTAGGGCGTTCGCGGTTCGCGCCCTGTTGCGCTACGAACCCGGCCACCCGATGTTCGATCCCCCCGCTCACGGCCGCCAAGAACGGTGACGATTATCTGAAGCGGTCCTGGGCCTCCCCTAGGTCGACTCGGCCTCAAATGAGTACCGTGTGCGGTGTGTAATTGTCGCCGGCGGGGTTGCTGGCCAACCCACCCCATCGTGTGCCGTGCCGGCTTTCATTAGGTGCTGCTCGCTAACATCACTTGCCCCAAAAGCCTGTAAAGGCTACACGGGGGTGGGAATTCTTTGC